CGAACGGAGGCGATCACCTTCACCGACAAGGATCTGCCTCCGGGTACGGGGTCACACATGGACGCCCTCGTCATCCGGTGTGAGATCGGTGACTCCATCATCCACCGCACTTACATCGATACGCGGAGCTCCGTCAACGTGATGTACCTGGACACCTTCAAGCAGCTGAAGCTGGACAAAGCTCTGCTGAAACCGATCAAGACACCGTTGTCCGGCTTCACCGGGGACTCTATCGACGCCGAAGGCACGATAGTCCTCCCCGTGGAGGTCGGCGACGGCTCCCACCGCGCCAAAATTGACATGGAGTTCATGGTGGTCAACCTTCAGTGCGCCCACAACTTGATTTGGGGGCGGCCAACACTGGAGGACCTGGAGGCCATCATCTCCATGAAACACTTATGCCTAAAGTTCCCCACCAGCGGCGGCATCGGCTACGCCAGAGGAAACCAGAGGATAGCCAGGGCATGTTACCTCAAGTTAACGAGACCGGCTGAAAGGGAATGGCAGAGAATAGACACCATCACGGCGACCGTTGCCAAGGACGAGGAAAGACCGCATGCTGAACCGACCGAAGAGGTCGAGGAGGTCCCCTGGATACCTCCCGGCCGGAGCAGGTCCTCAGAACCGGGAAGCAACTCCCGCAGGACCAGTGAGACGCCATCCTCCTCGTCTTACGGTCATACGACGTTATCTTCGCGTGGGGCCCGGACAACATGCCAGGCATCAGCCGGAAGCTGATCACCCACCGGCTGACCGTCGATCCGGCCTTCGCGCCTGTCAAGCAGAAGCGACGCTACTTGTCCGCCGACAGGCGGGACTTCGTCAAAGGGGAGGTTACCATGCTCCTCTCAATCAACCACATCAAAGAGGTGAAGTACCTGACGTGGCTAGCCAACGTCGTCCTCACCCAAAAACCGCCGACATTCAGAATGTGTATTGATTACACTGACCTGAACAAGGCGTGCCCCATGGACCCGTTCCCTCTCCCCAACATTGATCAATTGGTGGATGAGACGGCGGGATGCGAGTTGATGTCGTTCCTCGACGCCTTCAGAGGGTACCACCAGATTTTCATGCATGAAGATGACGCTGAGAAGACGGCCTTCATGACCCCGGAGGGAATTTTCAGAGCAGTCCTCGGCCGGACGATGGCTAAAAAACTCCGGCGCCACCTATACCAGAATGGTGGCTAAGATCTTCAGAGCAGTCCTCGGCCGGACGATGGAGGCTTACGTCGATGACATGATTGTCAAAAGCAAGCGAGCCACCACACATGCTGACGACCTCCAGGAGATTTTTGAAATCATGAAGGAGTTCAAACTCCACCTCAACCCCAAGAAGTGCGCCTTTGGCGTCCAAGGCGGCAAGTTCCTCGGCTACATGGTCAGCCAGAGAGGCATTGAGATAAACCCGGAGAAGATACAGGCTATCATCAACATGGAGCTGCCCCGCAACGTCAAATAGGTACAGCGGCTAACGGGGTGGCTGGCGGCCTTGAGCCGCTTCCTCTCCAGATCAGCCGAGAGGTCACTCCCTTTCTTCAAGATCATGCGCAAGGCAAACAACTTCAAGTGGACGACGGAGTGCCAGTAAGAATTTGAAGAGCTGAAGAGGTACCTTTCGTCCCCACCAGTGCTCTCCAAACCCAAAACTGGCGAAACCCTCTTCTTATACTTGGGGGTGAGCGCGTCGGCCATCAGCTCCGTGCTCATCTGCGAGGATGAAGGGGTGCAGAAGGCCATATTTTACATCAACAAAACACTCAAGGAGGCCGAGCTCAGGTACTCCCCCATTGAGAAGACGGTGCTAGCCATCGTCCACACGGTGAAAAAACTGGGGCACTACTTCCAAGCCCACGCGGTCCACGTACTGACCCAGCAGCCCCTTAGTGCGCTCATGAGGAGACCCACTAGCTCCTCGAGGATGGTAAAGTGGGCGATCTTCCTCAGCCAATTTCAAATTGAGATCAAGCCAAGGCCATCTATCAAAGGGCATGCCTTGGCCGACTTCGTCACCGAATGCACAGCAAGGGAGACGACTGCTACCACCCCCGAGCCAGAGCAAGATGACACGTGGATCCTCTTCACTGATGGCTCGGTAGTTGCGATATCATGTGGGGGCGGCGTCGTCCTCATCTCCCCTGATGGATTCAGAGCTTACTATGCCATCCGCTTCAACTTCAGGGTATCTAACAATGAAGCCGAGTATGAGGCCCTCCTCAGCGGCCTCAGACTTGCCGCTGGCCTCAACGCCAAGCACATCAGAATAAGGTGCGACTCCAAGCTGGTAGTGGGCCAGGTTGAGGGTACGTACGAAGCAAAGGAAGGCCGGATGAAGCAGTACAAACAGGCAGCAGAGGAGTTGCTGAAGGCGTTCGAAACCCACGAGATCACACAGATCCCAAGGGCCGAGAACGCCGAGGCCGACATCCTCTCCAAGCTCAGCTCGGATACTCCAGAGCACATCTCCAAAATCGCCAAAATCGTGGAGCTGAGCATGTCTAGCATCCATGCCAGCCCCATCTTGTGCATCAACTATGCCCCCGTCAGCACTGCCATTCCATTTTCAAGGTGGGGGATTGACCTGGTCGGCCCACTACCCAGAGCTGCTGGCAACAACCGCTACATCATCGTCGCAGTCGACTACTTCACCAAGTGGGTCGAAGCGGAACCATTGGCCAGCATCACGGGGGCTAGGTGCCAGAAGTTCGTCCACAAGAACATTCTCACCCGCTTTGGCGTCCCCCAAGAGATCATATCCGACAACGGCACCCAGTTCGAAGCGGTGCCCTTTCAGGAGCTCCTTCGAGAATGGGGAATAAAGCACCGTTTCTCCTCCGTTGCCTACCCTCAAAGCAACGGGCAGGTTGAGAACGCCAACAGAACCATAATGGAGGGGCTAAAGAAGAACCTACAGGACGCAGGAGGAAGTTGGGTCGACGAGCTCCCCAACATCCTGTGGTGCTATCATACTACGCCAAGGAGGGCAACGGGTGAGACACCTTTTGCCCTGTGCTATGGCTTTGAAGCAAAGGCACCCACGGAAGTCACCATTCCCAGCCGACGGGTGGAGCAGTATGACCCTGAGGTCAACGAGGAAAACATGAAAATCGACCTCCACCTGGTCGAAGAAAGACATGAACAGGCATTCATCCGAACAGAAAACTATCGGCGTCAAGTGAAATCATACTATGACGCCAAGGTACGTTCCCGAGAATTCCAAGTGGGGGACTACGTCCTCCTCCGAAGGGAAGCAAGTCAGCCGACGGAAGGGGGCAAGCTAGCCTTGAAGTATGAAGGTCCCTACATCGTCAGTGCCGTGGTGAAACCCGGCACCTACAAGCTTAAACGGCCAAACGGGACCAATGTACCACGAACGTGGAATGTACACCATTTGGTGAAGTTTTATCAATAATCCGAAAGAGGTGCAGTCGGCGAAGTCCTCACCCCTTAACGGGTTATTGATTGAACACCACCCTCGGCCTTGAGCCACTTATGAATAAAAATCATGTTTCCTTTGATTTCTTGGAATTTGGGTAAAAACATTGACGGGCGCCCTCATCGGCCACCTTAGAGAGAAAGGCTCAGGCATGGCCGATGTGGCACTTCGCATCTGCAGCCTTAGAGCGAAAGGCTCAGGTATGCTCCATTGTATTTTGTATCAGCGAAAGGTTTAGGCCCGGCTGAAAGAGCACGTCGTACCGGCCCCTCATAGCGAAACGCTCAGGCAGGGCCGGCGACGTCCCCAGGGCGATGGGCCCGCAAACGGCCCGCGTCTTGAAACGGGAAGTTCATCGCGTCGTCCACGCGCCTGATCGCAGGACGACAGGCCTAAAATCATGGCCGAGGTGACAAAATCCCCAAACTCAGGGTTGGGCAACGACAGCCGTTGGAAACCAACCAAAAGTCTAGCCCGCGTCATAAATAGGCGACGGGACCCCCCTGAGACCATGGACGTTATAAACGAAGTCCAAACCGGCCGAAGGACTATCGACCCCTTCGGCCGAAGCCTGAAAGAAGGACACTCCCCAAAATAGGGAACAAAAAAAATTAAATAAAAGAGGGAAGCCGACGGACCGTCACACTTGCCGGCCTCGAGCAACAAAAAAAAATGAAATCCCCACAAAAATACTAAGTACATATCAGTCTGATACGAAGGCTACACTACGAATAGGTGCCACGACCGAGGCGCGCATCTACAAAATCCCAACCGATTTGGTTGGGTGAAACAAGGTTGGTCGTCCTCTACGGCCACGAAAAGAAATGTTACTTTCATCGGCCACCAAACAATACAGGGCCGTTGGCAACCCCAAGCGGAATCAGCTACCAAATCACGACACTTAGATTTTTTTTAAGTGTGAAACAATAAAGGGCAAACATGCAGGCCGACAACACTGCCAAAAACATTATCTTCCCCGGTTGGTATCAGCCGACGAGGCCCTCGACAAGGATAACACAACTCAGCAGCGCCCGCATCGGCCAAGAAAACACCACGATGTGCAACCCAGGCCGATGAGGTCACTGGAAAAAATACAACAGTTGAACAAACCGATGGAAACCCTTACCGGCCATAACGTTTTCGCTGACCGTTAAAGGTACTAAAACTTAGGCGGCTGCTCAAGTTGAAAACTTAGAAAAATTTTAAAGGCAAACGGTAAGAGACGTCCCCAAGACGAAGCGAACAACATATGAAAGTCGCCTAAGTGGATTTCAAACACTTAGAAAATTTGGCACTCAAACATTTGCAAGTACCCTCCTCGGCCTCGGTGTCCGTATCGGCTGCCCACTTAGAAGAGCCCTAAAATTATGGCTGACACTTAGAAAATTTTCCAAAAATTTTCTAAGTATTTTGACATCGAGGGGAAGCAAGCACTCACACATAAGCTGCCCGCTTCGGCCACAACCAGAAGGCAATCGAGGTCGACGACGTCCCAACCCCCAACACAATTGGACATCATACAAACAAAAAAACACAAGGCAATTTAGTAAAACATGAAAGCCGAGAAAGGTGTATTTTCATTCACAAACAAAGGGATACAATGTGGGCTTCTTGGCCGTTACATAAGAAAAGTCAAAAGCAGTAATACAATGAATCATGGCTCTGGCGGGGCTTCTGAGTCCCCTTCAGCACCGGTTTTCTCTTCGGCCTGGGAAGTGGCCACATCGGCAACAGCACCGGACGTGGCAGTGTCTTCGAACATGCTCGGCTCATAGGCCCAGTCATCGCTGGCCTGAGAGCTCTCAATCGGGAGTTGCCGTTCCGCCGCAGGGAGCTCCAACTCTACTTCAGGATGCCTCATCATCGAAGGCAGCTCGAGGCCGATGGCCCACTCCTTGGCAACCCCCAAATCCAAGAAACGATGTTGGAGCCTCTGATAGAGCAACCGCTGCATCCGGTGCTGGCCAAGGTCGTAGAAGACCTTCATCTCCTTCTCCCAGTACGCCTGGCCGTCAGGGGACTTATTCACCCAGTCGACGAGCCTCGCCGCCACGACGTCGAAGCACCAGGGGAGCCGGTCCTCGTCCTTCCAGCCAACTTCGAGGAACTTCTGCACAGCGGCCTCAACAGCCTTCTCTTCGGCAACACTCAGGGCCAGCTCTGCATCAGCCTTACCCTTCTCGGCCTCCTCAGCACGACAAAGAGCCTCATCACGAGCCCGATCCACATCGGCCAAGCGCTGAAGGGCCCCATCCTTCTCGACGGCCAGCAGATCAGCTTCATCAGCCCTTTTCTTCAGGCTTTCACTCTCGGGCCTCGTCGGCCGAAGCCACCTTCTGCTCAATTTGCTTCAATGAGCAATCTCCCTTTGTTGCCTTCTGTTGCTTTCCATCAACATAAAGGCGCCCTGCAGAAGAACAAGGGTTAGACGACGATGATACCTGACAAAAAAAAAGCAAAAAAACAAGACGAAGCAGATAGCAAAACTTACTAGGACGATGTGGTCCATCCCACCATCGTACATCTTGACGTTGCCGAGCTTCTTCAGGTAAGCCCGGTCCTCGTCGGGGATAGCCTGGGAGATCACCTCGTGGCCGTCAACGATCTCGTTGAATAGTGTCACGCCCCGGACCGCATCCGAGCCACGTAGACAACCGCTGTACAACCCGATAGGAACAACAACAGTTCACCCCTATTGGATTGTACAAGGCGTCCGATCGATTCTATTGCCAAACCGATTAGTAAACACATACAATCAACATCAATATCATAATCAAACAAATGCGGAATAATAAAATGTTTGATACTTAGCCACACGTGGCAAACACGGGCACGCAGGCCCCCAATTGTTTTAATGAAAATATTGTTCAAAAATCCATGAGCGGTTTATACATTTGAAATAAGAATGGAAGCACGAACCACGTCTTCCTTCTCGATCAGTCACCCTAGGCAAAGGTGCAGGTAGTAGGACTCTAGCCTCAACCTGAAAAATGTGAGGCCCCCCGGAGGGGTCAGTACTCCATAGAAGTACTAGTGACAAGCAGGCTATATGAAGAATAACTAATGTTTCAGACACGAGACCCAAAAATAGGGTGATATATACATATAGATGTCCCTCATCCACCCGATGATACATACTGTATATATACTCGTAAAATACTCAACCCGTAGGTCATTTACTTTAAAGAGTCTTTTAGAGATAAAGTTCTTACCTGACTTTTCTCACTCCTTTCCCGGTTACCTAGCTCACAAGCTATAGTCTAACTTTGATTCATACTACCGAGTGTTTTAGGATCATTTACCGTCCAAGGCACTCAACCCATCCTGGAGTATTTAAGATCATTTACCGTCCAAAGGTACTCGGCCCCACCTGGAGTATTCTGGATCATTTACCGTCCAAGGGTACTCGGCCCCACCTGGAGTATTCTGGATCATTTACCGTCCAAGGGTACTCGGCCCCACCTGGAGTATTCTGGATCATTTACCGTCCAAGGGTACTCGACCCCACCTGGAGTATTCTGGATCATTTACCGTCCAAGGGTACTCGATCCCCAGTCTATTCTCTACCAAATCCTAACCTGGATATGGCTAACCTTTCATTCCTTTAACTATGGACAATGCCTAGCCCTATAGTCATATAACAAATCCTTAGGATCCAACGTGGGCGGGTCCCATCTGAACGGCCCACATTAACCCGCTCAAAACTGCCCGTTTTGAGCATAACCCAATACTCGATCGAGTATTAACCCATACTCGGTCGAGTACAGGAGACAGTAGTCCACAAAGCTGATTTTCAACAAATACCCGGTCGGGTATGTGTCAATACCCGATCGGGTATGGCAGTTGACTTAGTGGTCAACGCCCGTTTGACCACCCAAACGGAGTCCGGTTAACTTGAAATTTTACACACATATACTTCTTGATGTCCTTGATCCAAAAATACCATTTTGGATCCCTGGATCATCACACAAATAATGTTATCACATTTTTACTCACCAAACCTACATAACATGCTTTTCCAACTATGTTTCATGCAAAATCATGGCATAAGCAAATACTTGATTATCTTTAATCATTCCACAAAACATATCCTTGATTACTTTAGGTAATCTCATGCCTCACGCAAAAGTTATAAAGCATAAAGCCGTCTTCTCACCTTAACGAAGCTTATGAAGTTCTAGCCTCCCCGATTTAGCTCCGACGAAACTCCGGCGAACTTCAACGAACTCCGGCGACAACTCCGGCGACCTTTTCAACTCCGTGAAAGTTCCTTGAATACCTTAGACAAGTTACTAACAAGGTTTTATCATCATAAAACCCATAGTAATACAAATAACCTCAAAAAGGTTATTTTCCGGCGAACCGGTCACTTTGGCTTCTAAGTCCGTTCTTGGACTTAGAACCACCTTCCAACCCCTCTTTCTACACATCCCAACGTGTAGAACAATCCTAGGGTGTGAAATATGATTGAATAATCATATAAGATAGTTTAAGAAAAGGAATGGGATTAATGAAGTCCTTACCTTGAAAATCTCAAGTTTTGCTCTCTAGCTTCCTCTTTTCTCTTCTCTATTCCTCCCCTTCTTCTTCCTTAGCCTTGGTGCGAAAATGGGTGAAGAATAAGGTGGTTGCAGAGCTTATCTCACCTCAGTTGATGCCAAAACCGAATGAATGGCTGTAAGGGGTGATGGGAGTCTATTTTGGGCTCATTAGACCATGATGAGGGGTGGGGGGTCCTCTTGGAGTCAATTCTTGTCTCAACCTCCCCCCTAGCTCGGCTCTCTCATCCAAAGTCAGTATTTGCACACTCCTCTAACCAACCAAGTCTGAAAAAAAACGTGGGGTGGCCCCCACCCATGTGGGAGGTCATCCCTTTATGTTCCCACGTGTACAATCGGTCCCGAAAGTTGTATTTTCCGGACTGTTTTAAGTATATTTTATTTTATCGGGTCAAATAAAATATAATACTTGTTCCCAATCCTTATTGGACCTTAGAATCAATATGCATTCCTCAACTTTAATTTAGAAGTCTCCAAAATCCCTTTTCGGGCTATTATCTAATAAATTGCCGATACTGATAATTTGGCCCCGTTTGACCAACCGGTCAACCCTATGCCATTGCCATGGCTCAATTAGGATATCCACCACCATATACATATTATCTAGTCCAAGATCAATATAATATGTGGCCCCGATAATATCGGACGGCCCCCACCTCCGGTGTGGGCCCCACGTGAATTTTTCTATTCACGTAAAAGAAACGATAAAAATTTGCAATCACGTAAAAACGCTTTTATACATTTCTCAGGGTTCAATACATGATTTGGTACAATACAAATACTCGGGGGCGGTGTTACAAGTTCTACCCCCCTTATTTGGGATTTCGTCCCCGAAATCTACGTGTCTAATCAAACAGAAATGGATATTGTTCCCTCATTAGGGTCTCCACTTCCCACGTTTGCTCCTCGACACGATCACTCTTCCAAAGTACTTTTACCATCGGCACCTCTTTGCTCCTTAGCTTCTTTACCTGCCGGTCTATGATCTTTACCGGCTGTACCGTATAATGTAGGTCTTCTCGGATTTCTACCGGTGGGTTCTCAAGAATATGTGACGGGTCCCGCACATACTTCTTGAGCATAGAAACATGAAATACATTGTGAATCTTTTCTAATTCTGGGGTCAACTGAAGTCGGTATGCTACCACCCCAATCCTTTCAAGGATTTTGAACGGACCTATGTATCGTGGGTTAAGCTTACCCCGACTGAGGAACCTGATGATCCCTTTCCAAGGTGATACCCTCAGAAATACCTCGTTACCAACCTCAAACTCCAACGTCCTCCGACGTTTATCAGCATAGCTCTTCTGCTGGTCTTGGGCAGCCTTGAGCCTATCCTGTATGACTTTTATCTTCTCCTTAGTGATCTCGACTAACTCGGTGCCCTCGAGCTTAGCCTCGCCGACCTCATCCCAACATAATGGTGTCCGGCATTTCCTCCCATACAATGCCTCGTATGGGGGCATGCCTATACTTGCCTGATAACTGTTGTTATAGGCGAATTCTACTAAAGCCAATTGATTGTCCCAGCTCCCCTGGAACTCCAAGGCACATGCCCTTAACATGTCCTCCAAGATCTGAATCACTCGTTCAGATTGCCCATCCGTTTGAGGATGAAACGCGGTGCTAAACCTCAATTTCGTACCCATGGATTCCTGGAACTTAGGCCAAAACCGTGATGTGAACCGTGGGTCTCTATCCGATACTATAGTAACCGGAACTCCATGCAGTCTCACAATCTCATCTGTGTACAATTTGGCCAACCGCTCGAGCGTATAAGTAGTGTTGATGGGTAGGAAATGAGCGCTCTTGGTCAGCCTATCGACTACCACCCATACCGCGTCGTAGTTCCTAACCGTCCGTGGTAGACCCACCACGAAGTCCATGGTAACATGCTCCCACTTCCATTCTGGAATGGTAAGTGGTTGTAGTAACCCTGCCGGGTGTTGGTGCTCTGCCTTAACCTGTTGACAAGTAAGGCAACGGCTCACGTATTCTGCAATTTCTCTCTTCATCCCCGACCACCAGTAGCTTTCCTTCAAATCCCGGTACATCTTTGTACCGCCCGGGTGCATGGCATACGCAGATGAGTGAGCCTCCTCAAGGATAGATTTTCGGAGCTCCTCATCCGATGGTACACACACTCGTTCCTTGAATAGTAGAAGTCCATCTTCTCTCTCACGGAAACCCTCGACGGGCCCCACAAGCATCCGTTCCCGGATTTTCTGAAATTCCTCGTCATTGCCTTGACATGTTCTGATTTCATCTAATAAGGTGGGTCTCACCTCAAATCTGGCCAATAGCGCCCCATCCGTGGATACCTCCACGCGTGCCCTCAGTGCCCGTAAGCATGTGAGTAAAACCCCTGATGATGAGCTCTTCCTGCTCAGTGCATCAGCTACAACATTAGCCTTGCCTGGATGATAGTCAATGATCAAGTCGTAATCCTTAATTAACTCCATCCATCTCCTCTGCCTCATGTTCAACTCTTTCTGAGTGAACACATACTTCAAGCTCTTGTGGTCGGTGTAAATGTGACACAACTCCCCGTAGAGGTAGTGCCTCCAAATCTTCAATGCAAATACCACAGCACCTAGCTCCAGATCATGTGTGGGGTAGTTTACTTCATGCTTCCTCAACTGCCGAGAAGCATAAGCAATTACCTTCCCTGATTGCATCAGTACACATCCCAGTCCCTGAATGCTAGCATCGCTGTAGATTTCGTACCCTAACCCTTGCACGGGCAAGGCAAGCCCTGGTGCTTCGGTCAAACGTTTCTTTAGCTCAAGAAACCCCTTCTCACACTTGTCATCCCACACAAACTTAGCCCCCTTTTTAGTGAGCTTCGTGAGTGGGGATGCTATCACCGAGACCTTTTCCACGAATTTGCGGTAATACCCCGCTAAACCGAGGAAACTCCTTATCTCCTTCACGTTCTTGGGCCTCTCCCAATTAGTGACCGCCTCAATCTTGGAGTTATCAACTGAAATGCCCGAGCCCGATACCACATGCCCGAGAAAACCGATCCCCCCAAGCCAAAATTCACATTTAGAGAATTTGGCAAAGAGTTGCTTCTCCCGCAGTGTTTCAAGCACAAGCCTTAGATGTTTTTCGTGTTCCTCTTCATTCATGGAGTATATCAAAATGTCATCAATGAACACTATGACGAACTGGTCTAAGTATTGGTGGAATACTCGGTTCATGAGGTCCATGAATGCCGCGGGGGCGTTCGTAAGCCCAAACGACATTACTAGAAACTCATAGTGACCATACCTCGTACGGAATGCACTTTTGGGTATGTCACTCTCCTTGATCCTCAGTTGATGGTAGCCTGACCTCAAGTCAATCTTAGAGAACACCATTGCCCCCCGTAGTTGATCAAACAAGTCATCGATCCTTGGCAAAGGATATTTGTTCTTTATCGTGACCTTGTTCAACTGACGGTAGTCGATGCACATTCTGAGTGTACCATCCTTCTTCTTTACAAATACTACCGGTGCTCCCCATGGTGAATGACTCGGCCTGATGAATCCGCTGTCCAGCAATTCTTGCAATTGCACCTTCAACTCTTGAAGTTCATCCGGTGCCATCCGATATGGAGGAATCGAGATGGGTTTTGTACCGGGTTCTACTTCAATGGTGAACTCAATTTCTCGATCTGGTGGGAGTCCCGGGAGTTCTTCAGGGAAAACTTCTGGGTACTCACTCACCACTCTCACCTCAGTGAGACTCTTTTCCTTGCCCTCCTTGCCTATGACATAGGCCAAGTATGCTTGACACCCTTTCCTCATCAT